TCCGACAATGACTGTACAAAAAATCATTGACCCCAACAGCCTTATTCAACAATTTACAGAACTCTATGACTATAGGGCAAAACTGGGCATGCATAGGATTGTGCAAATTAACCTTACTTGAGTTTATGAAGGTACGAATTGATTCGACCGCACAATCTCTATAAGATTGAACAGGAGACATGTAAAGCATTACTAGAGCTGCCGGAGCGCGAGATGCTTGAAAGATTTGAAGGTATTCAGATGCTTTGTCGGTGTTATCTCGTGGGATATTATCCAGGAAATCCTTAAGCCTGGTTTTGATTCTCAAGGTGGGTTGAGGATTTTTCCTCTTGTACAGCTCAAGAATCAGGGAAACCATGTCGTCCATGAACTGCCATGCCTGAGGATGGCTTGTGCTGCGCATCCGTCCCACGAGCTGCAACCCGGCATCCTTCTGAATCCCACACTCGGCCAAAGTATTCTCCCACTGAAGCTGCTTCCCTCTGTATATCAACCTCTGCTCGAACACGGGAATCCCCGTGATTGAGTGGATTTTCTCGTGGATTGTTTTCACCGAGTCGTCCAGATACGCTTCCAGTACTAGAGTGGTCCCTCCTGACAGCAACCGGACGAAGAATTGAACGGGGCCGGGACACCGCTGTTTCCCGGAAATGGAGGTGATCGAGGACGAGGACGAGGACGAGGAGAAGGATGAAGACGATCGGGAGGTCGAGGCCTCCTGGGAGGAAGGGAGGTGGGAGAGGAGATGGGAATCGGCGACGGCGGTAGGGAGAGGCTGGTCCTTTCGCATTCTGACGGCGGAGGGGATTAAGGAGTCGGCGGTGAAGGCGTCATCGAAATAGTCGTCCAGCTTGCGCTTGGCGGCGACGGCGACGGCGTCGAGGTGAGATGTCATCGGCGAGGAGGAGGAGGTGGAGGAGGGTTTAAGGAAGGAGAACGCCTGACCCATCTGCTATTCCCACTGGGAACCAGACCATTTTCTAGCACTGTGATACTGTGTGCCCAATGAAATGAAATCTTGAGGAAGAAGAATCTCTACGCCACCACCAAATAGGCCTTAGGCTGTGTTTGGTTGTACCATTTCCCTTTGCCATAAAACTTTTTGTACAAACACCAATATTCAAATATACCCAAATAAAATCTCATTAATTTTTACTCAGCATTTATTTATGTATTTTTTATAAATTAATGATGTCACATCTTATTTTTGATAAATCCATTAAATATATTATTATTATTATCATCATCTAATTTTGTACAAAATTTTTGATTTAATTTTGTATATGAGAATGCTTTATTTTATTGTGAATTTTTAAATAAAATTAAAAATAAATTGTATAATTTTTACTCCATATACTCGTATAATTTTTTAAAGAAATGGACATGTAATCATTTTTTTTATAAATTTTGTTAAAATCAAATCAAAAAGTTTGTTTAGATACCACGGAGAAAGTATAAGCATAGGGGATGTTTGTTTCAGCTTCTTAATGGTTCAGATATCTTAATGGTTCAGCACTTAATGGTTCAGACTGTTTGTTTCAGCCTCTTAATGGTTCAGATGTCTGAATGGTTAAGAGATTTGCCTCTGAATGGTTAAGTATTATACAGAGTCTGAATGGTTAAGACCTCTTATCTGAATTGATCAGACATTTGCCTCTGAATAGTTAAGCAATATACTAGCTCTTAATGGTTCAGACC